ACTTTTTTTTGTTGATGCAGTCTAATGTACATACGTGAGCTTCTCCTCTTCAAAATGAGATATGATTCATTAAATTTTATGAAATATTAAATGCAATATCGTTTGGTAACAGAAGAATACCTTTTAGAAATAAGTAAATTCTCATTTTTTATGCTGTTAATGCTGTCCATTCTTTGTCTTTTATTTACTTCGTTATAACGTTTTTCCAACTACGTCCATACTTGTTTTTGTACGAGTTTCTTCATACCCAAATTCTAAATTCCATCAATTTGTCTGACAGCGAATTGAAGCCAAAAGCAATTAAAGCTGCCGCCAATCTATTAACCTTTCTTTTTACTAACCATCTTTTTTAAAAAATTGTGTGGTTAGGAACGAGAAACAAAAAATTAGAACCTTTTCAAGCCACCGACAATGTCTATTAAGCTCCTTGCTTACTCTCTACTCTGACTTTCTTTAGCTTGCCAATCATCAATATGTAACACTGCCACAAATTTAATTGGCTAAGTTTTTCCATCCCACAAATATTACAAAAGGATACAAGGAGTATGTGTATACAAATATGTAGCTTAAATTGTTTATTTTCCTTGTTTCTTGTTAATTTATGTTTTATTAAGTTTTAGTTCCGAAAATTGTGTAGTTTTTCGATTTACCCTAAGCTTCCTTTTCGGTTGAGCTGGGCTACTGGCAATTTTTCAGCTGAGCGCACTCAATTTGTATTAAAAAGGGTTTGCATGTGTGTCTTTAAATGAGAAAACTGGCATCAGTTGGTTGGCCATTTCAGGGGTACAAGCAGTTGTGTACATTTATAGCGCTTTCATACATACACAGAAACTTGGAAAACAGGCTGATTCCTCAAAATTTATTTTACATTTTGCGGTTTTTCCGCCGGGATTACAAAATTTATTACATTTTAAGACGTCCACCAAAATATTTCGGAAAAATATTAAGATTTAAGCGAGCTGGACCGATTTGAAAATACCTCCAAAAATGGAGTTTTTTTATGAATAAAAATAGTTTCTTAAAGAACTTTTTGAAAAAAGTCCCCCCAGACGACAAAACAAGTTAGGCTTAAAAATTCTGCATAAAAATATTTAAAAATCTTTTCAACGGAATCGTAATAATGAGATTTTTGATGCTGTTTTTTTACTTTTTTCAAAGATTGATTTACGAAAAACTTAAATAACTGGGCCAAAACTATTCTGATTTAGACTTATGGGATCTCGGTAGAAAGGTATTTTCCCACTATTTTTATTTATGTGCAAAAAAAGTTATTCGTGTCCCAATATTTTTTTTTTTTTCAAATATCAACACATCTTAATTCAACTTTGAATGATATTCGTTCATGCTACATTTCTCTTTCATCCTTTGAATGGGTTTATTAGCAAAGAAATAAAAAGGGCGAGAAAATACCTTTCCAATGAAATCTCACAAGTCTAATCGCATTATTACGATTCCGTCCAATTTTTTTTTAAATTTTTTAAAAATATTTTTACGCAAATTTTTTAAGCTTAAACCGTTTTGTCATTTGAGGGTATTTTTTCAAAAAAAAAAAATTTAAGAAACTATTTTTATTCATAAAAATCTCAATTTTTTGAGGTATTTTGAAATTGGTCCAGCTCACTTAAATCTTAATATTTTTTCGAAATATTTTGGTGGACGTCTTAAAATATAATAGATTTTATAATTCCAATGGAAACAGTGCCGATTTTTTTTGTATGGGGAGTGATACAGTCTAAT